GACCCACCGACCTCTACAGTGATCTGACCCGAACCCACCGACCTTCACAGTGACCTGACCCGAACCCACCGACCTCTACAGTGACCTGACCCAGACCCACCGACCTCTCCAGTGACCTCATCCAGACCCACCGACCTTTACAGTGACCTGACCCGACCCATCGACCTCTTCAGTGACCTGACCCGGACCCACCGACGCACAGTGGGCCAGGCGCATCAAAAAAGCGGAATTAAGTCGAAAATCAACTTCGGTGAAATTCCTGTAATTATGGGATAGAGTATTGTAAAAATGTCCAAAGTTTCCGAATAAGCAAGTTTCCTTTCCCCAATGTCAAGGCAGATAATGCTATAACGTCGCAAAGTAGGACTTACCGACTGAAGATGGAAATGACTGCTGTGTACCATTTTCCGTTCCCCCGATTCAAAAGCTCTCAGCGTAAAATCATTAAAGTTATTCCGTACAAAATAGCTTTAAAAAAACAGCCGGTATTTCTGCGCATGTTTCTCGTACTCAAGTTCCCGGAAACTATTTCATGCTTACTAGTAGCGGTGGGGTTTACAGTGCCTGTTCGGAACCGTGGTAGTGCAACGACGCAATGAATTTATATAAGGATATAAAGAAAACGTCACCGAACAACACGAAGATATTTGCTGCCTGACTTTCCTCAAGGTGTATAGCTTGCTGCCCAATGCAAATATTTTGCGCATTTTTGCGCGAAATGGACAAATAAGGGTTTAACCCTCGCCGGCATAGGCCGTTTTGCATCCCTCGACGGCACAGGGGGATGCGACCCTCCTCGCGTTTGGCCCCTAATTGAGCTAGAGCCTCGCGGAAAAAAACATCGTGTAGGTCGTCACGAGACGAAGCCAACGGTACCCGGTTTTAAGGTCATAGGTCAAATGGTGACCTCTGAGGTCAGGTCAATGGCCGAAAGTCGGGACCTGTTAGAACGTCGTATAGTGTGGCTGCTAAGGGGTTTTTCGGGATGCTGATCACGAATATCATGTTAGTTTTGATCACAGATGATGTCTTCATGCATTTAGGCCAGGTCGGGTCAGCTCAGGTCAGGTCAACCAGTATGGGTCCTGCCGGGTATTCGTAGTAGGTGTCAACCCGCCTCTGACAGCTTCGTAACATGTTATGAAGGCACCAAAACTACTTCGTAAATGTTCAAATGGTTCCTAAATTCGAATTCAGCTCAAAAAACTAGCCCAGAAACATGTAAAACTCGAAAAAGTGAACCGAGGTCATCGAAGGTCAATGACCTGACCTGACCTGACCTTCAGGTGACCTTTACACCCACCCTAAAGCATGGGACCAACATCATATCACATGTTTGAGCGCTTGAAACCACGAAAAGACTGCAAACGCGCGGCCAATGCGGCATAGTGCCCGCCTGTCCCAGGCATATGTGCAGCGCAGAAATTAAATAATGACGTCATAGGTCAGTGACCTAGCGTAACCAATCAAATTGAAAATGGATATCGGATTCGGCTTTAGCTTAGCATGATATTTTACCCTGTAACGAATCATTTTTGGCACCGCAGCTGTGCTCATTGATTTAATTCCGCTTTTTTGAAGCGCCTGGCCCACTGTGCGACGCCCACTCCAAACTGCGCCGTTCGGCCGACCAGATAGCTGTTCCGCCCCGTCCCCCTCCCCGGACCGCCGTCGGGTCCACCACACCATCCTGCCTGCGGCTCTGGGACTCTGTGGTACTGGCCCGGCTATCTGCCGTCCTTCCTGTCAGCCGCAGCTGCAGCGGCGCGGGAGGCGGATAACAAGCGTCTTTACCCGCCGACCGAGCTCATTCTCACTGCCGGCACTCGAGGGACTCGGGGGGACTTCACTGACTCCCCAGGACTCCTCGACACTCATGATCACTACCAGGACTCCATTGACTCTGGATGACTCCTCATGACTCTGTATGACTCAGTAGACTCGTCGTGAGTCAATGTCGGTACGGACCGGACCTGTAACAAACAACAAACACAACAGAGTCACAACAAACACACAACAAACACCATAGATGATATGTGACACACACACTACACAGCAAACGGAGTCGCCATAAATAGTAAACAACATCGGCGTGACAAACAACACAGACTGGTTTATCGTCAATATATATTGCCCCACGGTCCACTGTGCACTGTCCATTACTTATCACTGTACCGGCCATCTGACAATGTGTGTAGTAGACACCACCAGAAGAGGGGGACCCACCTGTGAGGTCTGGGTAGAGCAACAGGAGCAGCGGGCAGAGGAGGGGAGCACAGAGCCGCAGACAGAGGGGTGAGACTAAATGCTTACTTCGAAATCTAAGCTGCGTTGCGGCATTGGCGGTTATGTGCGGCGTGTATGCCGCATGATTAGTAAGCGGCGACCACTAAATTAAAGACTCAAACGCTCCGACCGGTTTTCAATGAATAACACTGCATACCAAAAATACCAATCGCTCTCGTCATAAGATATTTAGATTTAGATAACTAAGTTATCTACATCACATCATCATTTTGAACCAAATTAATACCTTCAACTGAACTCGCTCACTCCTTCCTTTGTTGGCTTCAAACAGTCTTTCGATTGTCTGGAAATCGAATGCTAAATCCCGTACCTGTATGCGACTGGTGCATATATGATATAAAGGTGCGATGTAAGAATTTGAATAGGCTCTCGCATGCGATTTCCTGGCTACCCAAAAAAGTCTGTTTCAGTCATGCTATCAAAACATGGTATGTCAGCCCGGTCACCGGCTTATGGTGTTCTGCTTGTAGTGCCCCTGACCGCCACCGACTCTCTTCCCTCCTGAACCCTCGCCCGTGTTGGTGTTTTTTTTTTCAGCCGCGAACGTATAAGGGGGGGGGGGGGTCAGCTGGACCCTTCCTTGCCGTTTGGCCCCTGATCGAGCTAGAGCTTCGCAGAAAAACGAGCGTGTTGCCCGTGACGAAAGGAAGCCGATGATACCCAATTTTAACCCTCGCCGGCACAGGCCATTTTGCGTCCTTCGACGGCACAAGGGGGGGATTTGGTACGACCCCCCTCGCGTTTGGCTCCTGATCGAGATAGAGCTTCGCGGAAAAAATGAGGGTGTTACCCGTCACGGGAGGAAGCCGATGATATCAAATTTTATTTTTTAAGGTCCTAGGTCATCGGGTGACCTTCCAGGTCAGGTCAATGACCCGAAAGTCGGGAAAATTGGGACCTGTTAGAAAGTCGTAAAGTGTGGCTGCCATGGGGTTTTCCGGGGTGCTGATCACGAATATCGTGTTAGTTTTCATCAGAGATGATGTCTTTAAGCATTTAGACCAGGCCGGGTCAGGTCAGGTCAGGTCAGGTCAACCGGTAGGGGTCGTGACGGGTATTCGTAATACGTGTCAACCGCTTCTGCAGCTTCGTAACATGTTACGAATGCACCAAAACTACTTCGTAAATGTTCAAATGGTTGCTAAATTCGAAATCAGCTCTAAAAACTAGCCTAGAAAATGTAAAACTCGAAAAGTGAACCGAGGTCACCAAAGGTCAATGACCTGACCTGACCTTCAGGTGACCTTGACATCTACCCTTATGCATGGGAGCAACTGGCAACATCAAATCACATGTTTGAACGTTTGAAACCACGAAAAGCTTGCAAACGCGCGGCTATAATGCGAGCCGACATACGCCGAATCGCGATTCCGGCTAAACATGGTCTCGGAAAGTAGGCCACAGGTCAAAGGTCATTTGGGTCAGGGTCATGAAATTTTTAGGGTGGGTGTAGAATTGATCAATGCGAGGGTACTGAAAGTTTCGTCGCGATCGGCCGCTTTTTAAGCGAGTTATTCGCGAAAAACCTTAGGGGGTTGCACTAAACCCCTTGAGCCGGCGAGGGTTAAGTTGAAAGTATTAATTTGTCTCAAAATGATGATGTAGACAACCTAGTTATTTAAACCTAAATATCTTATGACGAGAGCGGTTGCCGGTTGGCATTTTTGGTATGCAGTGTTATTCATTGAAAACCGGTCGGAGCGTTTGCGTCTTTAATTTAGTGGTCGCCGCTTACTAATCATGCGGCATACACGCCGCACAAAACCGCCAATGCCGCAACACAGCTTAGATTTCAAAGTAAGCATTTAGTCTCACCCCAGATAGAGCACGTCAGCGACACTAGCGCCGCCTGCCAGTCTGGTCCGGAACCTGTGGTTGTCGAGTACACCACATGGAGAGGAGAATAGGACGAGAGGTTAGTGATCTCCTGAATACCACCCCCACTGGCGGATACAGTCGCCACCGCGACCAAGATGATGCTGTCGGAGAACCCGTGCGTCCTCTTGACACTGCAGCAGAGCCGACACCTGACCACGTCGTCATTAGAAGCGGAAACAGCGGTACAGGTGACGTCACATGTCAGGTTCCTGTAACACACTCAAATCTGGTGAATACTACAGTGCAATACTTACGTGTGGCTCTGTGTGGCTATTAGCATGACCCGCAATCCGCCACGTGGAGGCTGCCACATCGGACTGCGTCTCTATTATCGCCCGAGACCCCTCAGGTGGTGCAGAGCCCACCATTTCCTGAGGGAAGACACGGCAGCCATATACGGCCCCGAGTAGCACTCGGTGTGTGCTACTCGCAGCCGATTGGTGGCGGCACAAACGGCCGTTGGGTGAGTCAGCTCTCCAAGCACGGCGGAGGCAGGCTTGTATAGCACTCATCTGTCATGGATGGCCTACACCAGCTGATCGTGGTGGCTGAAAATGTACCGGTGGGTCAGGGCACTGTCGTACAACGACTGGCGTTTTATCATATATTTTTCCATAATATGTCATTGAATAGATTGGTTTACATTCTGATAAATCATAATGTATGCTCGAGCTGGGAAGGTCACCCAAGCCAGCTCCGATAACATGTGCACATGTCAGTTTTCCATTTGTTGGCCCACGTACAGCTGTCTGCCCCGTGGCTGAACACTGGCTCCTCCAGAGAGACGGACACCCGACCGGGCGTCTGTCCCCGGGCTCTGGTCACCGTCATGGAGACAGCTGGCCGCGCGTCTGTCCCCGGGCTCTGGTCACCGTCATGGCGACAGCTGGCCGCGCGGGGAGCTGGTGACGCCACCAGCGGAAGGAAAACGAGTCATCCGGGGGCTGGTAATGCAGTAATTATGAGTCTGATGTCATTTGTGAATATAACTACAAATCGCCTCGTATCAAGTATATTCACAAACGTTGGAACATCAACAGGTATGCATCATGCAAAAATAGCCCACCAATCTAACCTGTCTCGGGAGGCCTCTGATTCTGTGACGGGCGAGTGTGCGGCAGCTGAAATGCCGGACTGCCGGATTGGCTCCGGCGGTCGACGGCTCAGCTGCGCCAGAGCCGCACACCCGCCTCCGTCAACCTGCCGGTACAGTAAATGGACAAAATATTATTCAAGCTAATTTATGTATGATGTTCCTAGTTTCATGACTAGTCACAATTACTTAGAATGAACGTAAGGTGGACTTGATAAGGAACAAAACTGAAACGGGACACGGGAAACAGGACACGGAAGCGAAACAAGGGAACTGGACACGAAAACGGGACACGATAACCGGACAATTGGTAAAATCAATAAGCAGATTCCGCTGGTGAACTCACGCCCGCTGGTGGTGAGCTTGGTCCTGAGGCCGGCGGTGCTGGTGGTGGTGCTGCCAATGCTGGCAGGGGACCTGAAAGACGGTAGATGTATTACCAGAACCTAGATAATTGATTTGTGTTCAGTGGCAGCTTATTTAGGTGCAAAAAATCGCATACGTTAGAGCATTGTAATTCGTCACTTCTTACAAATGTATTTTATGAATCAATTTTCTACAGCACGTCTACTCGATATTCTCCTCGATATTCTATATACGACTGGATACTCGATACTAGAGATATAAATCACATACCAACTTTTTGGTATACCGATACCAAACCGATACCAACTTGGTATTTGGTATTTCAATCGTAATGTGTTTGGTATTTTGTTTGTATCATAAACCTTCACTAATGTATAAGAGGCTAAGAAATCGGAAAAAGTTGGTATTTCCCTCATTTCCCAAGTTGGTTTGTTTTCGGTATTTTCCCGTGGTTTTGGTTGGTATTTGGTTTGGTATCGGTATTCCGATTTTCCGTAATTGATATCACTACTCGATACGCAGAAGAATAAGGCATATGCCAAACTGAAACGTTATGCTAAAAGTAATTCGATGAAATTATTGCCTCAAAATGAAGTAAAACTCGATTTGTGCTATCACAAAACTCTTCAATCGTTCTCCAATTTCATATTTGACTCTTACCACCCGAGGAGCGGTGTGGTGTCTTTCACCTTCTCAGCTGCACCTGAAATGAGATAGCTAAAATAAATGTTTTCATTAGAGATCTATAATTTGGTGGATATGATTGAGAAATGGTATGATCAATAGCTTGCTTGTTATGAAGTAGGTATAGTTACAAAATAAATTCCGGAGCATCAAATCCTCTCCCCCTTCAAAAAAAAGTCCCCCAGACTAACCTGTCTCGGGGAGGCCTCTCATGCTGTGACGGGCGAGTGTGCGGCAGCTGAAATGCCGGACTGCCGTATTGGCTCCGGCGGTCGACGGCTCAGCTGCGCCAGAGCCGCACACCCGCCTCCGTCAACCTGCCAGTGCAGTAAATGGACAGATGGTCATTCCAGATGATTTATGTATGGTGTTTTTATATTCATGTAGTCAACATTATTTAGCCCTCGCCGGCCGAGGGGGGGGGGCGGGTGCCGCCCCCCCCATAGGGTTTTTTTTTCGCGATAGCTCCGAGCACGCTGGCGATAGAGAGCTGAAACTTGGCATACCTGACCTTTGATTCAAGCCGGATCTTTTGACACCAACCGCATTTTTGGGTCAGGTCAGGTCACTGACCTATGACGTCATAAGTGAACCTATGCACGGTCTTCATATGTCGCAACTTCGCAACGCCCTCACTGCCAGAGGAAATGTCACAGGGAAATGAAACTTGCAGGATCTAGTATCCATTATAGGTAAGTCTCACAACTTGTATATCTCGGATTTTTCCTAAAGGTCATATGAGGTCAGGTCATTTTCGTGACCTCACCATTATAACTTATAATGGTGAGGTCATGAAAATGACGAAAATGACTTATAATTTATAAGTCAATGGGGAAAAATGAAATCTGCTATTCTGGCGCCGCGAACGATCTCTAACTATCTCAAGCACACAGAATCGTGATTTGATGCACTCCTTGCAAGGTTAGATGCGTCACTTTTGCAATGTTGACCTAACGTGACGTCGTTTATGACGTCATCAAGGTCATATTAGTTTTTCGTCAATAACTCTTGATCAAATTGAGCTAGCGAGTCGGGAAAGCAACCAATGGATTCAGGAAGACATACCGATTCGAATGATATGCGACGTGACCTCTTTTGACCAACTTCGTGACCTGAGGGTGCTGACCTGACCTTGACCTGAGGTCAACACCCCAAGTTGACCTGACCCGGACAAAAAGTATATCAATCGACGCGCCTGAGCGAGGCAAACAAGATGCTGCCAAAATTGGCGCTCTGCGGCCGTTTTTGCGAAGTTATTCACCAAAAACTGAACCGTACGTTGGGGCACTTGACCTGACCTCAGAGGTCACCGATTGACCTAGGACCTTAAAATCGGGTACCAATCTCTGCGTCTCGTAACGGCGCACACGCTCGTTTTTTCCGCGACACGCTAGCTCCACCAGGGGCGAAACGGCGAGGGCGGGTCGTACCCGCCCCCCACCCCCCCACGGCCGGCGCGTATGTAGAAAACCAATAGGTCCGGCGAGGGTTAGAATAAACGTAAGGTGGACTTGATAATGCACAAAACTGAAACAGGACACGGGAAAAGGTACACGGGAACGGGACACGATAACCGGTCAATTGGTAAAACAAAAAACAATAAGCAGATTCCGCTGGTGTACTCACGCCCGCTGGTGGTGGGCTTGGTCCTGAGGCCGGCGGTGCTGGTGATGGTGCTGCCAATGCTGGTAGAGAACCTGAAAGACGATAGTTGTATTACCAGCACCTAGACAATTGACTTGTGTTTAGTGGCAGCTTATTTCTTTGCAAAAAAGGCGAATCGAATGGTGCTGTTTTTGTTTCCGTACGAGGTCTAGAACTTCCAATTTTTTTTTTCTCAAAAGTTTTGTTTGTAGTGACTTCATAAAATTTTAAATAACTCCCACATTTTTGAACCGATTCTTCTAAAAATTGGTATTTAGGTGCACATAGACCACTTCTCTGACATATATTCCGTTTTTTTTTTTATTCACTCAAAATTTTGGAATTTATAATTATTTTCCCAAAAAAGTAAGTTTTTTGAAGAAAAAAATGGGCAAAAATCCAACATTTTCAAAAAACCGAGATAGCCATTTGATAGACAAAACAGAACCACGTATAACCTTTTTTTGTTACGTCTTAATTCCTTTAAACCCGCGCCCCGTAGGGGGGGGGCCGAAACGGCCCCCCCCCCTGTCCTTTTCGGTCAATATCTCCTAAACGGCTGGAGATATCGCCACCAAACTTTCAGGACCCCTCCGGGCATCAATTTTACACATTGTGACCAAAAATTTTTCCAGAGGCTGTGATAGGTTGGCCACAAATGACGTCAGAATGACGTCATGTTCTGTCATTTTCGACCGAAAAAAGACCTTCGCGAGAAGACCTGTCAGGCCTACAGCTTTGAAGATACAGAAAAATGATCAACACATAAAAGGTGTAGAATTGAAAGGGCTACAAAACTGCTATCTCGGATTTTTGAAATTTTTGAGTTTTGATCCCCAAAATCAAAAAAGCATTTTTTTGGATATATTAGCCGAAAAATCCAAAAAGTTTTTTGAGTTTCGAAAAAACCGGAATATATGTGATAGTACCTACCGTCTTCTATCTACATACCCAATTTCAGATCGATACCTCGTTTTTTGGCCAAGTTATAGCGAAAAAACTGTTCAAAAATGATGACGTCAAATTTTCAAACTCAATTTTTGGCAATTCTAGAACTCGTAGAGCAAAACAAAGACCACCATTAGACTCCCCGTGAAGAGCTGCATCGAATGGATACCCATTTTATGCAAAAATATCAACTTTGAAATTTGACCTAATTTGACCTGACCTTGACCTGACCTTCACCAAAACGTGACCTAGGCTGGCCCCAAAGGCTGCCTAACCCACATAATCGCATTTGTCATGTAAAATGGACCATAAAACATGTATCACACGACACATTCATATTGTGACCCCCGGTGACCTGACCTCGCTGTGACCTGACCTGGTATCAGTGACCTCAGATAGCAAAGTATGTATTTGACGAACAGGCACGTATCCAGGATTTCGCTCAGGGGGGGGCGACAGCCGAGAAGGGCCCGGAGGTCAGCCAAAAGGGGCCCCACAGCGACTGCCTATCCTGGCGTGTAAAAATTCGAGAATGTCGAAAAAACAGCAAATTTACGATAGAATTTGGCATTGTAAATGAAAATGCATTGTCTTGCGTTTCTCGACCTTGATAACATGTTTGCAGTTAGCTTCCGTTGAAGTTCGTTTTTGCAGTTCACTTCCGTTAAAGTTCGTTAACCCGCGCCCGGCCGGGGGGGGGGGCTGTTTGAACACCTCCTCCTTGCGGTTTTGCGTGGATATAAAAAAGAGGGATGAATCTTATCTACAGATATGAAAATTTTACACCCAGGTCGCTCAAGGTCAGGTCACCAGACCACGTCAAGTGACCTCACCTCAGAAAAGGTTAGAATGCTCTCCATAGCCACACCGACTGAACGATCGGCTTGAAACTTTTAGCGATTGATAAGAGTAACAGTATGTATAAAATGATTATCTCGAAATTTGCATACCGGTGGTGACATAAGGTCAACTTAATTTTTGCACCCTCTCCATTAGGTTTTATAAATGGGAGAAAATCGAAAGGTGCCTCTTTTAGGCAAACGTCATCCTAGGCACCCTCAATCACCTGGTTACATAAAAAATGACAACCTAGATCGGAAATTTGTACCCGTGACCCCTCCTTATGTCTATGGGGTCATCTCAGGTCACGAAACGTCTCCACAGCTTTTGACAATAGCATTTGTTAGAGACACGCTAGAGCGTTGAAAACACCTTAGATGTGTTCAGGCCTTATCGACGATACGGTTTGACGGATGTGCAACATGACCTTTCAGGTCAGGTCACCTTGAATTTAGTTCAAATTTTCTAAATGACCTGATAAGGTCAAATTATATGTAGTTCATTCGACGCGTCTCGACGAGAGTAACACGATGCTGACAAAAGAAATGTCGTGCCTTTTCCTGAGTCGAAAATTGTTAAAGAAAAAAAGTGTTTCATAAAAACGACTATTTTAAAAGTTTTTTCTCTCAAGAGGCTAAACCGTTAACCCGAGCACCGACGGGGGGGGCTGTTATCCGCCCCCCCCCCTTGAGGTTATGCGGGAAAACCGCGGCGCGTAGCGCCGCGAAATTTGGCATGACTATTTTCTCATTAATTTTACACATGGTGTGCAAGTTTGAACCTCCTAACTTTTAAGGTCAGATCACCAGGTTACTTCGAATGACCCAACCTCAAATCACTTTTTGCAACTTTGTCACGTCGTGTCAGAGCTACAGTAGATAATGGAGTATGATTCGATGCGGATTGACGAGAGGATCACGATGGTGCCCTTAGTTTGTTCCTATTCCTAGCTTGGCTAATTCGAAAGTTATTCGAGAAAAACTTCATATCTAGCGCCGCCATTTTGACTTTTTTTGCCCCTGTGACGTCATCTTTGACCTGATCTGGAAATGACCTAATTAAAAATTGTAGACCTTGTCCGTGCGTACCCCATGCCGTTTACCGCTTGTCGCTATCTTGCTTCGTTCTTGAGATCTCAGGGGGCGGGCGGTCATCCGCCCCCCCCCCGTCGGTTCTAAGTTGGCGCGGACCCCCGTCGGTGCGCGGGTTAATCGCAGGTCAATTCTGAGAACAGTTTACGGAAAGAACGTTAAAAGAACTATTGAATGCGTTTTTCTTTTTGTGGCGTTGCAGCTCTGTTTGTACCCGGGTTATGCGCCGGAGTTGTCAAACAATGTTGAAATAGGCAAAATGTGACCTTTGCTGACTTATGGTGACCTGACCTTTGACCTGACCTAGAAAATGACCGAGTTACTTTCGGCATGATTTTTTACGCTCTTCCGAATGCCACGTACGCTTACGTGTCGCTACGTGGCCCAGGAGCCGAGTTAGAGAGAGAGGGTGTTCAAACGCCTCCCCCACCGCCTGTCCCAAACGCCATCCGTGGCGCAACTATGGAGCTCATTTTGTTCGGAAAACTGTAAACAGGAGCAGCCCCATGAGGTCAGTCGAAAGGGTCCCATCATCGGCTGTTGCCTGTTCCTCGGGCCCCATGGCCTGGGCAGGGCCTTCTCAGCGGGCCCTTCCGTTTCTGGGGCCCGGCCAGGACAAGCTGTTTCTGAGACTGGGCACGGAAGTGTATATCTGGGCTCGCTTTCTTGATACGTTGTCGAGGCCGAGGGACCAATACTTAAGCTCAAAAGCCTGCTTCAAGGCTTTCTGAGCGGGCCCTTCCGCTTTTGTAGACCTCCCGGGCCCCCGGTTGTCATTGGCTTGGCCCGGTCCGCTTGTGGGGCCCGGCTAGGGACCCATATGAGCACCGGCAAGACCCTATGGGCCCTTTTTGGACCCGAAAGCCTGGGCAAGATCTTCTCAGCGGGCCCTTCCACATCTAGGGCACAGACAGGCCCTGTGACTGGGCACGGAAGAGGATTTTTTCGGATCCGCTAACCATAACTTCTCCGGGGCCAATTAGCTCAAAAGCGATACCTTTGGGCCCGATAAGGGACCCGTTTGGAGTCCGGCAGGGCCATAGGGGCCCTTCCTCAAGCTCGAAGGCTCGAGCATATCCTTCTGAACGGGTCTTTCCGCTTTTGGGGCCCTGCCGGGCTCCAAATTGCCCTCGCTCTGCCCAAAAGTGGGCCGAAGGGCCCAGTTACGGACCTGTTTGTGGCCCGGCAGGGCCCCAGGGGCCCATCCGCGAACCAAAAAATTCGAACAAATCCTTCTGAACATGCCTTTCCGCTTTTTGGCCCAGCCGACCCCAAATTGTTCCTGACTAGGCCCCAAAGCGGGCCCTTCGGGCCCGCTTTCTTGCTGCCTAGCGGGCCCTGCCGGGCCCGCTTTTGGGGCCCGGCAGGGCCCAGGGGGGGGGGGGGGGCGACCGCCCCCGTCGCCCCCCCCTTGGATACGTCCCTGTTGACGAACAATATACCATCGATGGTTTTCAATAAATTACCAATTTACTTGATTTCACAGCACATTTCTTGAATTGCCTGTGAACGGTGAAAATCTGACCTTTGACCTGACCTGTGACGTCATCGGTTTGACCTAGGTCAATGAAATTTGGTCACAAGGTAGTTCCCGGGTAGGGCTATCAAAAGCCGTTTGAATTTTGAAAATCGGCCGGTAACTTTCCGAGATCTTAGGGGGGGGGGCCGAAACGGCCCCCCCCCCTACGGGTGGTAGGGTCCGCCGGTAGCCCTACGGGGCGCGGGTTATTAAAAATGAAGATGTTAGCAGCGTTTGAAATTTTGCCGTTTTTGAGGCGAAAATGGCGAACATGACGTCACTAAAACGTCAATTTCTCAAAACACTTCCGACGGATTTCGCTCAAATTTTCCGGGAACGTGTCATATTATAGTACGATAAGGTACTGAAAGTTTGACGTTGCTGGCGTAACGCGTTTAGAAGTTATTGGCGAGAAACGGGAGGAGGGGTGGGGTGGGGGGCAGATTCTGCCCCGCCCCCCCCCCCCAGCGGGGCGCGGGTTAATGAAATTATTGCATCAAAATGGAGTAAAACTCCACTTGTGCTATCACAACACTCTTAAATCGTTCTCCAATTTCACATTTGACTCTTACCACCCGAGGAGCGATGTGGCGACTGTCACTTCTCAGCTGCACCTGAAATGAGATAGCTAAAATAAATGTTTTCATTAGATATCTTTAAATTTAATGGTATGGTAACGGTAAATTTAATGGTTTAATGGTTTTGAGAAATGGCATGATCAACAGCTCGCTTGTTATCAAGTACAGCTCCAAATTAATTCCAGAGCATCAATTCCCCTCCCCAAAAAAACGTTCCCCGAGACTAACCTGTCTCGGGAGGCCTCTGATCCTGTGACGGGCGAGTGTGCGGCAGCTGAAATGCCGGACTGCCGGATTGGCTCCGGCGGTCGACGGCTCAGCTGCGCCAGAGCCGCACACCCGCCTCCGTCAACCTGCCGGTACAGTAAATGGACAGATGGTTACTCCAGCTGATGTATCTATGATATGACCGGCATGTTTCTAGTTGTATTTACTTATTTTTCACGTAAAGGGGACTAAATAAAAAAGGTACACGGGGACGGGACACGGAACGGAACACAGGATATTGACACATAAAAATATGTGTATGTTACAGGCAATGTGTGGAATCAGGCATTCTATAGAATGCCTGACCGACCAGGCATTCTATAGAATCCCTAGGTATTCTACACATTTTCGATGCATTTTAACCCTAGAACGCCTAGGGCGGGGGTTGTATCAACCCCCCCCTGAGGTTTTTTCGAAGTGCACGCTAAACGGCTTGTCGTAGCGGGCTGAAATTTTCAATACCCTCTGGGGCAACCTTTGCGCATCTTTTGGCGAAAAAAAATTGATCGGGTCATGTCAGGTCACGGAGTTATGACGTCATAAGAGGTACAGCCTCCGGCCGACAGTTACCAAACGTGTGCGCCGAATCCCTAGGTTTTCTGCCGGTGATACCCACATTGTTTGATGGATCATGATGAAACTTCCCATGCATGTTGGGGCAAGCATTGGCTATCGTGTGGTGCAAGAAAATTGACCGGGTCAGGTCAGGTCACGGAGCTATGACGTCACAAGAGGAACAGCGTCCGGTACTATTTTTGAAAAGCGCCCGAACCACTATTTTGCTAATTCTTGTCACCTCAATGGGAATATGCAGCAATATTAGCTTCTATAGGGAGCAAATGGACCTCCCAAATCCAAAAATACAATCAGATTTCAAAAATTTAAATTTTGATTTTTCGAATTTCTGCCGCCGACTGTGACCTTGCCGCCTTCCGGCGCTCCCAACGCGCCATTTTTTGAGCTAGGGAAACGAAATACATACCAAACGATAGAGAATTGATCAAGGAACACGATAGTGAAGGTTTCAAGTCGATATCTCCCACCGTTTTGCCGCAATCGCCGCGGAAAGTTGAAAAAGTTTGATGTTTTCGGAAAATTTGACCTTTGACCGGTCATAAGTAGGTCAAATGTTGACCTAGGACCAAAAAATATACCACCAATCGCGAGATCTCGTTGAGAGCAATCCGTTGTTTTTTCCGCTAAGCTCTACGACCTTCCGTTTCGAAACGCCAGGGGGGGGGGTCGTAACAACCCCCCCCCCCTGGTCGTTCGTGTTATGAGAAATGACCTGGTCGTGCGAGGGTTAAGACAAATGAAGTCCGATTTAAAACAGTTGATTCCTGAAATAAAACAATTGACAGGTGGATTAAAACACGTGACATTCAGCTTAAAACAACTGACATGCTATTTAAAATAAATGACAAGCAAATTAACCCTCGCATGTGTGCGGCGTTTGCCAGCTTCTAATGTGTAGGGGGGGGGGGGTCGGTTGGACCCCCCCCCTTGCCGTTTGGCCCCTGATCGAGCTAGAGCTTCGCGGAAAAAACGAGCGTGTTGCCCGTGACGAAAGGAAGCCGATGATACCCAATTTTAAGGTCCTAGGTCATTGGTTGACCTTCCAGGTCAGGTCAATGACCCAAAGTCGGGAAAATCGGGACCTGTTAGAAAGTCGTAAAGTGTGGCTGCTAAGGGTTTTTTCGGGGTGCTGATCACGAATATCGTGTTAGTTTTGATCACAGATGATGTCTTGAAGCATTTAGACCAGGTCGGGTCAGGTCAGGTCAGGTCAACCAGTAGGCGTCGTGACGGGTATTCGTAGTACGTGTCAACCGCCTCTGACAGCTTCGTAACATGTTACGAAGTCACCAAAACTACTTCGTAAATGTTCAAATGGCTGCTAGATTCGAATTCAGCTCAAAAAACTAGCCTAGAAACATGTAAAACTCGAAAAAGTGACCCGAGGTCACCCGAGGTCACCAAAGGTCAATGACCTGACCTGACCTTCAGGTGACCTTGACACACACGGGAGTAACATCAAATCACATGTTTGAACGTTTGAAACCACGAAAAGCTTGCAAACACGCGGCTAGTGCGAGCCGACATACGCGAAATCGCGATTCCGGCCAAACATGGTCTCGGAAAAGAGGTCACAGGTCAAAGGTCATTTGGGTCAGGGTCATGAAATTTTCAGGGTAGGTGTAAAATTGATCAATGCGAGGGTACTGAAAGTTTCGTCGCGATCGGCCGCTTTTTACGCGAGTTATTCGCGAAAAACCATGGGGGGGTCCATCCGACCCCCCCCCCTACACATGCGAGGGTTAAAGGAAATAGTTCACTTTCACGAAATTATTTTTTTTTGCAACGATTTATTATTTTTTATGTTCAAAATAATCAGCAAAGAAAATAAAACCTTTTTATAACAAAAGATTTTTTTTCTATATTTTGATATAGGAAGAACTTCTCAGTTTCTGTAAGGCACACGCGATCCAGTATGAAAAGAGCATGGGTCCCGAAAATTCTTCAGAAACAGAGAAATTATCGCAGCCACCGGCATTTGGGCGATCTGCTCGATCTGATAATGTTCCCCTGAATGTCCTAATTGATCAGTACGAGAATTTCTCTAGAGTTCTCGTAGATAATTTCTTTAGTTTCTGAAGAATTTTCGGGACCCATGCTCTTTTCATACTGGATGGAAATTTATGCAAGGCACACATCCTCAACGCAAGACACCTTTTTCGGGACGAGAAATAGAATATCTTTGCCTAGGGTGATCGTTGGGCTGTAAAAGCTCCTGATTTATGCTCGTCTCAGCCCAAGCTACGGAACTGCTATTCCAGTTCAAAACCCATGTTAAAAAGTGAACTATTTCCTTTAATATAAATGACATGCAATTTAACCCGGCAGTTGCTGGGGTATTTCGCCACCCACCCTTTGCTGGGGGGGGGGGGGGCGTTAAACGCCCCCAGCCGATAACTCGAGAACCAATAGGCGCAGCGAAACGCACGAGGCGGCAAACGAAAGAGCGCGACGAGACGCTTCAGATGAGTACTTTAAAGTTGAATTTTGAGGTCACAGGTCGGGTCAAGGTCAGGTCAAACACCTGAAATCGGGCTTTCAGTAGCATAGACTTCAGGACTTCGCAATGGGCGCCTCTCGCCATAAACTCTGTCAAAACGGAGCACAATCCATCTTATAAGGCCTACAAGAGTGTCAGCTTCATATAGGGGTCAGTCAAGCATAGGTCAGGGTCAAGGTCAGGTCAACCGGGTAGGCACATATCCCCGAAAATCAAAACTGATATTCGCAGCCTGTGACACATGTTTTATAGGTAATTTGGGGCGTAGAACACGATGGTGACATTCATTTTATCATATGTGTACGTGTTTGGCTAAAAAAGTTCAATTTAAGAAATTCATGTATCATGGTCGTGAAGTAGTCACGAGAAATTGCCAAGATTCAGTTCAAGATTTTGGAAAATGCGGAACGATAATCAATAATCGAAGATAGCCATTTGATTGATCATGGTATTGGCAGTCTAATGGCGTTTACGGCATGTCTGTATGTCTATTCTGTGATTTTATATGATTTTTTGAACATATGCCGTTTTTGGTCGAAAACTCAGAAATCATGACGTCACTAAAACCTCGATATCTCAAAAAATTTCCGACCGAATTTTTTGAAACTTTGTCACAATAAACTTCAATCAATTCCCTACAGGTATCCAAAATTTGGCGCGCCTGCGGCGCGCCGTTTTTATGCTATGGGCCGGCGAAAAAAGTGGGGGCGTTTAACGCCCCCCCCCCCCAGCAACTCGCGGGTTAATCATACAATTTTAGTTCTTAAAGCTATGTTGAATAATCACGTTTTAGTGCAAATAAAATAAATAAAGTGTTCGACCACATGTTTGCAATTGACAGTTCGTAGAATTTTAACATATGCTTCATTGGATTAAAAATTCAAAATGACTGATTGGCGTTAGAGCTTCCATACGATGACATTGAGTCCTCTACTACACTGTCCTTCTCCGTCTTGACCCGCGTCCCGCTGGGGGTCCTGGATTTCCACGCCCTGCTGGGGAGGGGGGTGTTTTGAACACCCTTCCCCTTCTAACTCGGCTCCTGGGCCAAGTAGCGATACGCGGAAGGCAGTGTGCGAGAGAGCGACAAAACAAAATGACGGAACTACTTCAGTCACTTTTTGCTCAAAGGTCAGTCAGGTCACCAGAGGTCATTGTAGGCCAAATGTTGCAGATTCTCAGGTCAAATGTCAATAATTTTTAGAAGCCGACACATAACTCGGGAACCAAGAGAGCTACAGCACCGAGGAAAGGTGCATTTGATAGCCCACTTAACGCTCTCTCTGAATATTTTTCCCATATATGATCTAACGTCAACGTTCTAGCCTGCAGGTGGCAAAAACTGCCAAAATGGACGATTTTGGCGTTTTTTTGCACTTTCTTTTGACTCGAGCTTTGCACGAGCTAAACTTTACCTGCATCGTGTTCCTCTCGTCAAGACGCGTCGAATGAACTATAAGTTGACCTTGAAACGTCAAATTGAACAATGACCTCAGGCCAAGGTCTTGACCTGACCGGAAAGGGTCATGTTGCGTATCAGCCGATTCGTATGGTGGAGCTTACAAATCTAAGGCGTTTTCATGACTCTAACTTGCCTCCATCCAAAGTTATTTGCTAAAACCTGCTAGATACCCTTCGTGACCTGACATGACCTCACGGGCATAAACAGGGGTCACGGGTGCTATGTATTTTTATGTTCATTGGGTCAACTGTCAACGTTACTTGTAAATTGTAATTCGGTGTTTGAAAGTGTTTAAATGACTTTCGTCCAAAAGAGGCGTCTTTCAATTTTCTCCCTACAAATAATCATGTAGTCGAACACAACATTTTGTCCATTTGTAGTAGAACATAATTATTCAGCATAGCTTTACGTAGGGTAGCCTGGGGCAAGACGCCCCAGATAATTTATTTTGCTATATAACTTTTGTCCCACATCACCTGGAAGGCCAAATTTGTGCTCAATGCATTCTTTGGACATTTTACTTTAGATTCCACCCCTCAAATTCATTCACATATGATCGGACTCCCAGGTAGGAAGTGATTTGTGAAGCAACTGCAAATGAGGCATTTTGCCCCAACCCCAGGGCAAAACGCCCCACGGCCTGGGGCAAGAAGCCCCATACTCTAGATTAAAGATTAAACATGCTAGTTGACTAAATCTTGAATGAGAGGTCCGTTACACCATGGGAGGCACGGCACTGAAGCTAGCACCTTCCATCCTATGAGGTGTTCACCTATGACACTATTGTATGAGCAGGTTTTCCACCTGCCTCATAAGGCCAAATAATAAATTATTTCAATGCAAATGTTAATAGAATACTTCCTTTGCCATCCAGTTGCTGAGAAAAGTACATATAGATGCATAGAAACTTACTGTTCGCCAGCTACCGAACATTAGGAAGTGGGTAGTCCGAACAACACATGAGGTAAAACGCCCCATGGGGCTTTTTGCCCCACGACCTACTGGGGCGTTTTACCCCATCACGTAGTTCGGTCAGAGAACAGCGCCTTGCACTCCAGCAAGACATATTTTAACACGAACCAACCCGGCATCATAAGCGTTAGACAATAGTTGTTCAAAATACATAAAAGTCGTTAACTTGATGTGGACCATAAAATAACGCCATGATGCATAATCTGACAACAAAACATAAAAATCACTCGAAAAACACATTTTTGGCTATATCTCCCTAAAGAGTCGTCACAATTTCTTTCCAGTCTGCTCATATAATGATCATATAGTGCACGTTTTATTGAAGAGAGGATGCTTCCCCGGAACCTTCCCACTTCCGAGAAACATCGGTGAGGCGTTTTACCTCGGCGGGGCGACTTGCCCCGGTCTACCCTACCTATATTTGTATGATTGAATTGCATGTCATTTATATTAATTTGCTTTTCATTTATTTTAAATCGCGTGTCAGTTGTTTTAAGCTGAATGTCACGTGTTTTAGCGCGCCTGTCAATTGTTTTAATTCAGAAATCAACTGTTTTAAATTGGACTTCATTTGTCTTAAAATGCATCGAAAATGGTGTATAGAATCCCTGACTGCTTGGGCATTTTATAGAATGCCTGGCTTAAGCTCCCAGGCATTCTATAGAATGCCTAAGTATTTTGATTGTCCGAAACACACTTCGAAAATTAGGGGTCAGTGGCAGTAATGCTATTTGTTTACCTAATTTTCATTGTTGGCCTAGGCCGGTCGTCACCTCACACCATTTCAGGGCAATGAGCTGAGAGGAAGCGAGGGAGGTATTGGGCTATGCCGACCACCAAATGGTGCGCCGCAAGCAGCAGCTGATCCAATTCCGTTGGCACGGGAGAGCCACGGCGCAAGGCACGCGGGAGAGTCACAGGCCAACCAGTCGCTTAAACGGTTACCCTCGGAGGATTATGCTGCTACAGATACGAAGCTGCATTAGAAGAGTGTTGGCTGGGAGGGTGGACCGTAGGCTTGAATCGAAAGTGACTGCGAATGACGATGGCTTTGTTCTGATGTTAGAAATGAAGGTGAAAAATACACCAAAGGTCACATTTTATGTCGTCATAAGCACTTTGTGTAACGACTCTCAATATACATACATGGACAGCTCAACCTACACCGTAATGTCAAGGAATAACCTGAATAAATGGTTCATTATTCCACGTCTGGGCGGTGGCCCGGCCGTAACAAGAGCCGGATTAGGTGTTGTTCGATCTCCCCTTCCAGCTTGACTTCTGGGCCATGCGGTATTCGAAAGGTCGTCAAAGACTCAAAATTATGAAATTTTACTTTAGTTCTTCTTTGGCAATGTTCGAAAGGGTGCCATTTCTAAAACAAATAGCTAAGCCATTTTTTAGGTCAGCCCAATTTTTGTCCATTTTTGGCTCGTAGCCGTTTTCTCCAGTTTGACCTTAAATCAATTCCTTAGAAGGCAAACACCTCCAAAAATGGACGATTTGTCAATTTTTTCTGTGTAATTTTTTTACCAAAGGCGTTTCCGATATTGACATTACCACCATCGTCTTTCTAGCGTTAAGATAAATACTCTGTACTCTCAGAATGAAATCCTGATACAATTTGACCTAATAAGGTCAGATTGAATACCTGACCGGAAAATTTGACTGAATGAACATTTGACTGAATGAACATAAATAGCTGAACGCAAGGTAGCCTGGCAGAAAATAACTTAATGTTACATGTCGGTCTGTGCTCATAATCTTATACAACATACACTTATATGTTGGAAAGATTCGTGTATTTCCTAGGCATTCTATATATTGCCTGAAAATCAGGCATTCTTTAGAATGCCTAGGGATTCTATAGAATCCCTGGTGGGTCAGGCATTCTATAGAATACCTAGGGATTCTATAGAATGCCTGGTCGGTCAGGCATTCTATAGAATGCCTAGGCATTCTATAGAATGCCTGATTCCACACATTGCCTGTAACATGTACATCAATAAGCTGATTCCGCTGGTGAACTCACGCCCGCTGGTGGTGGGCTTGGTCCTGAGGCCGGCGGTGCTGGTGGCGGTGCTGCCAATACTGGCAGGGGATCTGAAATATATAAATATTTAGCACTTGCACCATTTGTAGGTATACATCGTAACTCGTACAGTTTTTTATTCTTAAAAGACAACTGGCCTAGGTAGGTATCGCTTGCAAGACTCCTCACAATATTTCTAAGATGATGGTAGAAATAAACTAACACTAAGCATACACAAAGCTGTTTGAGATTACTATCAAATCATTTATCAAAGTATTGATAACACATACACAATTCATGCGTGCCTGTACACTGTCAATACAATACTAAAACACTCACGGAGGCTGGTGGTGGAGATCCCGGAGCCGGTGGTGCTGGTGCTGGTGCTGGTGATGGCTGGTGGTGATGGTGGACCTAAAATAGATGGTAATTTTCATCAATACTTGAGCATATTTTCATTTATTTTGCTGAGATTCTGTAGAAAACTTAACGCTTAACAGTCGGGAGATAAATGACCTCAGTTTTGACGTAACAGCCAAACATTTATGAGGATGTGTTTGTTTCGTCGTAACGAACCTCAGCCTGCTAATAAAACAAACACGCAAACAAACAAACAAGCAATCAAATAAACAAACAAACAAACAAACAAACAAACAAACAAACAAACAAACAAACAAACAAACAAACAAACAAACAAACAAACAAACAAACACGCAGTCGATATTCTAACGTTAGTTGAAACATACAAACTGAAACAACACAAAGGTCAAAGGTTTGGAAAAGGGGAATATTTCTGGAGCTGCACCTACCTGCCGGTGTCGGACTTGGTGCTGAGGCTGGTGGTGCTGGTGGTGCTGGTGGTGGTGCTGCTGGTGGATGGTCTGAAAGGAAAGAAATACAAACTGAACGCAAATAGATGCAACTGTTCAGAAATACAATGGGTTCACCTCTGAACCAGTCTAATGGTCAGAAACAAAAAAATCATGACGGAGTCAGTTATCAATATTTGAGTGAGGATAGTACTGCAGTTCTTCCATTGCATTGATTGTGAAGAAGAAATTACTGACAAAATATCATGTGCAGCATAGGAAAAAAGTTTTTCGTTTTCAGTTTCAATCAAAGATCAGCCACTCACGGAGGCTGGTGGAGGACTTGATCCCGGAGCCGATGGTGCTGGTGGCGGTGCTGGACGCTGGTGATGGTGGTGGACCTAAAATAATACAAAGGTTTCAATTATTAGGTACGTAGAGACCAATTAGCGCCGCATATAATACAGATAAAGTAAAACTGCTAATCACACAACATTTATTACTGAAATTGGTTTGACATTACATACGTAATGTCAAATAGGCCTAGGTATATTGTACCAATTTCTTCTTTTATTTTGATAAAAAATCCCGTAAAAAACAAAAAAATGATAATTGTGGTTATTTGACGCAGAAACCCGACCATTCATAACAAAATGAAAAGTACGAACTGATCGTCTGGCAGTTGAAAAAAAAATCATTTAGATAAAATTTGTATCCTATCAACATTCATTACAATTGCCAAATATTGTATTTCCTATTGACGAGTAAAGCGGGCGACAATGTGCCCGCCGATATCGCGTCTGTACTCACGGAGGCTGGTGGCGGGCTTGGTGCTGAGGCCGGTGGTGCTGGTGGTGGTGATGGTTGATGGTCTGGAAAAGAATCAGAACATGTTGAGTTTTAATTGCTATTCATTGTAAGAAAATATAGCTTCACTTCTTTTCTTAACAGGTTTTACGATCATTAGCATTCCTGATGGAATATTTGTTACAGTACAATGTATAGCCTATCGTAATAGATTTGGTGATGAAAAAACAAACTAAAAATGTGCCTCGAACTTACGACCAAAATCAAATACCTCCAATTTTAAAGTCAATATGTGATAAGACACTTACGGACGATGGTGACGGGCTTGGTGCTGAGGCCGGTGGTGCTGGTGGTGGTGCTGGTTGATGATCTATAAGCGAAAGAATACAAATTGACCGTAAACCGCTGTAACTGTAATAAAATACAGTGGATTCACCTCTCAACCAGTCCAAACGTCAGCAAAATCCTGACGGAATCCGTTGTCAGCGTTTTATTATTATATTTTATTATTACAGCGTTTTACTTTATTATACCTACATATTATTCTTCCTATTGATCTGATTATGAAGAAGAAATTACCGAAAAAAATATCCTATGTAACATAGCGAGAAGAACAAGTTTTACGTTTTCAGGTTTCAATAAAAAATCAGACACTCACGGAGGCTGGTGGTGGGCCTGGTCCCGGAGCCGGTGGTGCTGGTGATGGTGATGGTGCTGGTGCTGGTGTTGGTGCTGGTGATGGCTGGTGGTGATGGCAGACCTGAAATAATATAAACGATTGAATTATTGTACATGACAGACCAAATGATCACCTTATCATACAGACAGAGCGGTAGCACTGTCTACGGCAAAATGAACAAAATTAGTCTGACACTAAAATACAAAAAGTTTCGATAACATATAACGAAACCGTGAAATCTGCAACTAAAAAACAAGTTCATGGTGCATTTCACACAGATAGAGGGCTATTGGACACAGCAAAGAAGAGTCACAATTGACAATTTCGTATATCGAATCTAAAAAAGTGTATCCAAGACAATGACGGATCAAATTATTCCATTTGTTTCGTCTGTGTATCAATTATCAACGTCAAGCCTTCCTTTGCTAGAAACTAGCCACGGGCGACAGTGTGCCAATGACATCGTGTCCGAGCTCTCAGAGGCTGGTGGTGGGCTACCCTATGTATGTACTGAGACCTGCGGCGCAGCACTCTTCAGGTGCTGTGTGCCAGAGCCATCTGTTGGCGACATAAGAAACTACTGAGACCTGCGGCGCAGCACTCTTCAGGGGCTGTATGACAGAGCCATCTGTTGTCGACATAAGAAACTACTGAGTCGTGCGGTACAGCATGCTTCAGGTGCTGTATGACAGAGCCATCTGTTGTCGACATAAGAAACTACTGAGACCTGCGGCGCAGCAGTCTTCAGGTGCTCTATGCCAGAGCCATCTGTTGGCGACATAAGAAACTACTGAGACCTGCGGCGCAGCAGTCTTCAGGTGCTGTATGCCAGAGCCATCTGTTGGCGACATAAGAAACTACTGAGTCGTGCGGTACAGCATGCTTTAGGTGCTGTATGCCAGAGCCATCTGTTGGCTAAATATCAAAACTACTGAGTCGTGCGTACAGGAGAAGACAGTGTTCCCGCCGATATCGCGTCTGTACTCACGGAGGCTGGAGGCGGGCTTGGTCCCGGAGCCGGTGGTGCTGGTGGTGGTGCTGGTTGATGGTGATGGTGATGCTGGGGACGGTGGTGATGACGGACCTGAAAAATACAAACAATTTATTTATTGTATTTGACATGATCACCTTATCATACAGACAGAGCGGTAGCAATGTCTACGGTAAAATGAACAAAATTGGTCAGACACTAATATACAATACAAAAAGCTTCGACATCATATCACAAAACCGTGAAATCTGTAACTAAAAAGTTCATGATGCATTTCACACAGATAGAGGACTATTGGACACAGCAAAGAAGAGTCGTAATTTACAGTTTCGTATATCAAATCTTAAAAAGTGTATCCAAGACAATGACGGATCAAATTATTCCATTTGTTTCGTCTGTGTATCAATTATCAACGTCAAGCGTTCCTTTGCTAGAAACTAGCCACGGACGACAGTGTGCCCAATGACATCTCGTCCGAGCTCTCAGAGGCTGGTGGTGGGCTACCCTATGTATTTACTGAGACCTGCGGCGCAGCAATCTTCAGGTGCTGTATGCCAGAGCCATCTGTTGGCGACATAAGAAACTACTGAGTCGTGCGGTACAGCATGCTTCAGGTGCTGTATGCCAGAGCCATCTGTTGGCGACATAAGAAACTACTGAGACCTGCGGCGCAGCAATCTCCAGGTGCTGTATGCCAGAGCCATATGTTGGCTAACACTGAAACTACTGAGTCGTGCGGTACAGCATGCTTCAGGTGCTGTATGCCAGAGCCATCTGTTGGCTAACACTGAAACTACTGAGTCGTGCGGTACAGCATGCTTCAGGCGCTGTGTGATAGAGCCATCTGTTGCCGACATAAGAAACTACTGAGTCGTGCGGTACAGCATGCTTCAGGTGCTTTATGCCAGAGCCATCTGTTGGCGACATAAGAAACTACTGAGTCGTGCGGTACAGCATGCTTCAGGCGCCATATGCCAGAGCCATCTGTTGTCGAGATGAATAACTACTGAGTCGAGTGGTACAGCATGCTTCAGGCGCTGTATGCCAGAGCCATCTGTTGGCTAACACTGAAACTACTGAGTCGTGCGGTACAGGATGCTTCAGGCGCTGTATGCCAGAGCCATCTGTTGCTGACATAAGAAACTACTGAGTCGTGCGGTACAGCAGTCTTCAGGTGCTGTATGCCAGAGCCATCTGTTGCCGACATAAGAAACTACTGAGTCGTAAGGTACAGCAATCTTCAGGCGCTGTATGCCAGAGCCATCTGTTGTCGACATAATAAACTACTGAGTCGTTCGGTACAGCAATCTTCAGGTGCTGTATGCCAGAGCCATCTGTTGTCGAGATGAATGACTACTGAATCGAGCAGCACAGCATGTTTCAGGCGCTGTATGCCAGAGCCATCTGTTGGCTAAATATCAAACTACTGAGTCGTGCGTGCAGGAGAAGACTGTGTGCCCGCCGATATCGCGTCTGTACTCACGGAGGCTGGTGGCGGGCTTGGTCCCGGAGTTGGTGGTGCTGGTGGTGGTGATGGTAGATGACCTGAAAAAGAATCAGCACATTTTTTTCAAATTGTGATATGTATGTACACTGTAAAAAAGCGTCGCTAATTTCCTATCTAAACACGTCTTCATGGGTGAAACTTTGACATCACCATTGGGGTCCCAAACGTCCAAGGGGGCCTCCCTCCATTTAGTGGGGGCCTCCAAGCAATTAGGGGCCTCCAATTGCGGAAGCGGTAATTTACGAACCACGCCAGGGCCTCCTCTAAGAAATTTTCACTGGGGGACCAGATACTCAGAAGCCAAACTTATGGTACCCCCAAATCCAGTTTTCTCATCGGATTTAGGTCACTTATTTTTCGTCACAGCTCGGATGCCATGATCTATTTTTTTTTTTTAATATTAACCCTCGCCGGCACAGGGGGGGGGGTTGATGCACCCCCCTTAAGGTTTTTCGCAAATAACTCGCGTAAAAAGCGGCCGATCGCGACGAAACTTTTAGTACCCTCGCATTTATCAATTTTACACCTACCCTGAAAATTTCATGACCCTGACCCCAATGACCTTTGACCTGTGACCTCTTTTCCGAGACCATGTTT